GTTGTGATGTGAGTGTTGTGGTGTTTGTTTCCCATGAGTGTGTTGTGATGTGAGTGTTGGTGTTGCTTGTTTCCCATGAGTGTGTTGTGATGTGAGTGTTGGTGGTGATTGTTTCCCATGAGTGTCTTGTGATGTGAGTATTGGTGGTGATTGTTTCCCATGAATGTGATGTGATGTGAGTGTTGTGGTGTTTGTTTCCCATGAGTGTGTTGTGATGTGAATGTCGTGCTGTTTGTTTCCCATGAGTGTGTTGTGATGTGAGTGTTGGTGGTGTTTGTTTTCATTGAGTGTGTTGTGATGTGAGTGTTGGTGGTGTTTGTTTCCCATGAGTGTGTTGTGCTGTGAGTGTTGGTGGTGTTTGTTTCCCATGAGTGTGTTGTGATGTGAGTGTTGGTGGTGATTGTTTCCCATGAGTGTGTTGTGATGTGAGTGTTGGTGGTGTTTGTTTCCCATGAGTGTGTCGTGATGTGAGTGTTGGTGGTGTTTGTTTCCCATGAGTGTGTTGTTATGTGAGTGTCATGGTGTTTGTTTCCCATGAGTGTGTTGTGATGTGAGTGTCTTGGTGTTGTTTTTTTTCCAATGTAGTGTTGTGATGTGAATGTCGTGGTGTTTGTTTCCCATGAGTGTGTTGTGTCCCATGTGTGTGTTGTGATGTGCGTGTTGTGTTGTTGTTTTTTCTAATGAGTGTGTTGTGATGTGAGTGTTGTGGTGTTTGTTTCCCATGAGTGTGTTGTGATGTAAGTGTTGTGGTGTTTGTTTCCAATGAGTGTGTTGTGATGTGAGTGTTTTGGTGTTTGTTTCCCATGAGTGTGTTGTGATGTGAGTGTTGGGGTGTTTGTTTTTTTCCAATGTAGTGTTGTGATGTGAATGTCGTGGTGTTTGTTTCCCATGAGTGTTTTCTGATGTGAGTGTTTTGGTGTTTGTTTCCCATGAGTGTGTTGTGATGTGAGTGTTGGTGGTGTTTGTTTCCCATGAGTGTGTTGTGCTGTAAGTGTTGGTGTTGTTTGTTTCCCATGAGTGTCTTGTGATGTGAGTGTTGGTGGTGATTGTTTCCCATGAGTGTCTTGTGATGTGAGTGTTGGTGGTGATTGTTTCCCATGAGTGTCTTGTGATGTGAGTGTTGGTGGTGATTGTTTCCCATGAATTTGATGTTATGTGAGTGTTGTTGTGTTTGTTTCCCATGAGTGTGTTGTGATGTGAGTGTTGGTGGTGTGTGTTTCCATTGAGCGTGTTGTGCTGTGAGTGTTGGTGGTGTTTGTTTCCCATGAGTGTCTTGTGATGTGAGTGTTGGTGGTGTTTGTTTCCCATGAGTGTGTTGTGATGTGAGTGTTGGTGGTGTTTGTTTCCCATGAGTGTGTTGTGATGTGAGTGTTGGTGGTGTTTGTTTCCCATGAGTGTGTTGTGATGTGAGTGTTGGTGGTGTTTGCTTCCCATGAGTGTGTTGTGATGTGAGTGTTGGTGGTGTTTGTTTCCATTGAGTGTGTTGTGATGTGAGTGTTGGTTTTTTGTTTCACATGAGCGTGTTGTGATGTGAGTGTTGGTGGTGTTTGTTTCTCATGATTGTGTTGTGCTGTGAGTGTTGGTGTTGTTTGTTTCCCATGAGTGTGTTGTGATGTGAGTGTTGTGGTGTTTGTTTGCCATGAGTGTGTTGTGATGTGAGTGTTGTGGTGTTTGTTTCCCATGAGTGTCTTGTGATGTGAATGTCGTGGTGTTTGTTTCCCATGAGTGTGTTGTGATGTGAGTGTTGTGGTGTTTGTTTCCCATGAGTGTGTTGTGATGTGAGTGTTGGTGGTGTTTGTTTCCCATGAGTGTGTTGTGATGTGAGTGTTGGTGGTGATTGTTTCCCATGAGTGTCTTGTGATGTGAGTGTTGGTGGTGATTGTTTCCCATGAATGTGTTGTGATGTGAGTGTTGTGGTGTTTGTTTCCCATGAGTGTGTTGTGATGTGAATGTCGTGGTGTTTGTTTCCCATGAGTGTGTTGTGATGTGAATGTCGTGGTGTTTGTTTCCCATGAGTGTGTTGTGATGTGAGTGTTGTGGTGTTTGTTTCCCATGAGTGTGTTGCGATGTGAGTGTCTTGGTGTTTGTTTCCCATGAGTGTGTTGTGATAGGGATGTGAGATGTAGTGTAGAGAGATCAAATCTATGTGTTTTCAGAAATGCAGCTGTTCAGTAGAAGTTGTGCTGACATTCCCTTTGGACCCATCTTGTTTTCTGTGCATCGACATTGTGAAACATGCATATCTTAAATTATAACACACATATAAGGTCAACTTAGGTATTAACACCGTTACCTGGAGAGAAACAGTCCTGTGCGAGATACTGTATTATGAATTGACTTGAATGACACTATGAATTTACTAGGGAGAAATGTTGCTAATTATACTCTTTTACAAAAAACAAAGTCACATGCGAATTGGGTAGATACACATTTTTTCACGACCAACAATTGGCTTTGAATCTATGTTTAAAACCTATGGCCCATAAAAGGTAATTTCCTCTTATTGACCGAGCAAGTGATTTGAAACACAAGGTCGCCTGTTGTGAAGAAATAATTTCCTCCACTCACCCATGTAGCTATTGTGTTTCAGTGAAGGAAGTTATAACATCCTCACTTCCAAGCTTCACAGTCACAAGACACAGTCAGACGTTGTACACTGAGATCCTTGGGAGGTGGAGCTCGGCCACTAACAACAGCAAGTATACTGCTATACTCATTGCACCAACGTGTGTTTCTAACCAAGTGAGCATTTCGTGTTGTTTTGTTATAAATATAAGGATAATAAAACAGGCTCAGATGTATATCAACATTCTGTGATGAATATCAACATCCTGGGATTTATGGCAGAACTACCACACGTCTGACCGAACATATATATGCATCTTATATTTATTGTATACGTTTTGTTTCAGATGATATGGCACCGATGACAATTCTGTGCGTAGCGTGCATAATGATGTACACTCGTGGTAAAAACATTATGAATATTTCCAATATGATAGATTATATTATTTCAACTTCCTAGATTTCTGACAAATAATTCATTTATATCTGTAGCATGCACTGTTCTATACATAACATCACTCCTCCTAGTATCATCATCAGCTGTAGTTGTGAAACTAAGCAGGTCATATCGTCCATCGCAAGGGCCAATTTTGATTATTTAACATACTACATCCTTTTTAATCCTTTTTTATGCAGAAACGTGCTTCAGTAATATACATTCTTGCCATCATTTTCAGCTGCCAAATGCAAAGGATACCAACACTGTTCAGAGTGTGACAGCACCACAGGGTATTGCATCTCTAAGTGTGATCATGGGTATTTTGATCAGAAGTGTAGTTCTATTTGCAACGAAAATTGTCGAAACGAGAAATGCAAACTTTCAATAAATGGCAATGATAATTGCACTGAGGGTTGTGTCCCGGGATACCAAGGCCCGGGGTGTAGTCGGCCATGTTACAACCCAGGAGGTGTTTGTACAGCATGTCCAGGTGGGTGTGATGGAGGATATTGTCAGCTGGGCTCCTCCTGTGTGTCTGGATGTGTAGACTCCTACTATGGGTCTGGCTGCAAGACATGTCACAGAGGATGTAAGACATGCAACAGAATAACAGGAACATGCATGCAGTGTCATCCTTCATTTCGTGGTCCGAACTGTGAACAGGAGACGAACACTACCAGAGGTTGTGAAGGTGGTTGTGTACCTGGACATATAGACAGAGACTGCAAACATTGTTCTGACAAATGTCTCAATAAGACCTGTCGCCCTAAGAACGAACCCTTTGATAAACAATGTAATCCAGGATTCTATGGTGAACACTGCAACAAGACATGTGGTGTGTGTATTGATGGAGACTGTGATCAGATGTCAGGGATGTACTTCAGAGGATGTAACAGGACCACACTTGGAAGTGCACCTTCCAGTAGAGCCAACTGTACTTTAGCTGAATGTACAACATGTCCACAAGGTGAATATATTCTCTTTATATTGATAGAAATAGAGGGGAGATCACGCATAACCAATGGAATTATTTAGTTGAATGTGACATTGATAAATGTCCACAAGTTGAATATATTATCTTTCTATTAACATAAATAGAGGGGAGATCCCGCATAACCAGTAGATTAATCCACATGCACAACTTAGTTGTAGGCGCAAGGCTTCTGCTGTCCATTCCCTGTTCTGTGTTGATACATGCACGGACTGGAATCACCATCTATGTTGTACTTGAACAAGTTAGACTTGAGCGAATGAACCAATGATAACGTCTCTGCCCAAATTCCTGTAGAGCCAACTGCACTTTAGCTCAATGTGACATTGAGGCATGTCTACGAGGTGAATATATAACCAGGTTTTCTTTATATTAATATAAATAGAGGTGAGAGCAATCTTCCCTTTACACATTCTGAATAACCAATGAAAGCATTCACATGCCAAATTATGTTCAGGCGCAAGGCTTCTGCTGTCCATTCCCTGTTCTGTGTTGATAGATGAACGGACTGGAACGGACGCATCTATGTTGTACTTGAACAGGTGAGACTTGAGCGTTTGAATCACTAATAACGTCTCTGCCCTAATGCCACACTTTCAGCCGCTGTAGTTGATGTCAACACGATGTTAACACGGGACATATTCAAAATGAACATTTATTGGTTCTTGTTTTGTTTGTACGTAGATGAAGAGAAGAGTGATGAGCAGGATCTCCATCAGTCCATCAACATGGGGCTGCTGACAGTGTTGTGCCTCTTTGTGTTCTGCATCCTCATCACCGTTTGCGTCTGCTACTGCCGAATTATGGCCTCACAGCGGTAAGGTATCATTCATTCATTCATTCATTCATTCATTCACTTGACAAAGTGCAATTATTCAATAGTATAGGAAGTCATTGAAATCGTTCATCCACATAAGTGTTGGTAGTATCAACTTATCATATATATGTGGCGTTTTTGGCAATTTGTAGAGAAAGTACAGGCGAGAAGGCAGTTGGATACCCAGATCAACCGACCAGAGAGAGGCTACCATCGATGTTTATAAGATCACACCATACATACTGTGACGTAGACGAGAGTGACATGGGGCCAGTGATTGTCTTCCTGTAGATGTTGACAGGGAGACAGAGTAGAGACTGTGACGTAGACGAGAGTGACATGGGACCAGTGATCATCTTCCTGTAGATGTTGACAGGGACACAGAGTAGACAATGTGATGTAGACGAGAGTGACATGGGGCCAGTGATCGTCTTCCTGTAGATGTTGACAGGGACACAGAGTAGACACTGTGTTGTAGACGAGAATGACATGGGGTCAGTTATTGTCTTCCTGTAGATGTTGACAATGACACAGAGCAGACACTGTGGCGTAGACGAGAGTGACATGGGGCCAGTGATCGTCTTCCTGTAGATGTTGACAGGGACACAGAGTAGACACTGTGATGTAGACGAGAATGACATGGGGCCAGTGATTGTCTTCCTGTAGATCTTGACATGGACACAGAGTAAGCACTGTGATGTAGTCGAGAGTGACATGGGGGCAGTGATCGTCCTCCTGTAGATGTTGACAGGGACACAGAGTAGGCACTGTGATGTAGACGAGAGTGACATGGGGCCAGTGATTGTCTGCCTGTAGATGTTGACATGGACACAGAGTAAGCACTGTGATGTAGTCGAGAGTGACATGGGGCCAGTGATCGTCCTCCTGTAGATGTTGACAGGGACACAGAGTAGACACTGTGATGTAGACGAGAGTGACATGGAGCCAGTGATTGTCTGCCTGTAGATGTTGACATGGACACAGAGTAGACACTGTGGTGTAGACGAGAGTGACATGGGACCAGTGATTGTCTTCCTGAAGATGTTGACAGGGACACAGAGTAGACACTGTGACGTAGACGAGAGTGACATGGGGCCAGTGATCATCTTCCTGAAGATGTTGACAGGGACACAGAGTAGACACTGTGATGTAGAAGAGAGTGACATGGGGCCAGTGATCGTCTTCCTGTAGATGTTGACAGGGACACAGAGTAGAGACTGTGATGTAGACGAGAGTGACATGGGGCCGGTGATCGTCTTCCTGTAGATGTTGACAGGGGCACAGAGTAGAAACTGTGATGTAGACGAGAGTGACATGGGGCCAGTGATCGTCTTCCTGTAGATGTTGACAGGGACACAGAGTAGAGACTGTGATGTAGACGAGAGTGACATGGGACCGGTGATCGTCCTCCTGTAGATGTTGACAGGGATACAAAGTAGACACGGTGGTGTAGACGAGAATGACATGGTGCCAGTGATCGTCTTCCTGTAGATGTTGACAGGGACACAGAGTAGAGACTGTGGTGTAGACGAGAGTGACATGGGGCCAGTGATTGTCTTCCTATAGATGTTGACAGGGACACAGAGTAGAGACTGTGGTGTAGACGAGAGTGACATGGGGCCAGTGATTGTCTTCCTATAGATGTTGACAGGGACACAGAGTAGACACTGTGATGTAGACGAGAGTGACATGGGGCCGGTGATCGTCTTTCTGTAGATGTTTACAGGGACACAAAGTAGACACGGTGGTGTAGACGAGAATTACATGGGGCCAGTGATCGTCTTCCTGTAAATATTGACAGGGACACAGAGTAGAGACTGTGATGTAGACGAGAGTGACTTGGGGCAGGTGATCGTCTTCCTGTAGATGTTGACAGCGACACAGAGTAGACACTGTGATGTAGACGAGAGTGACGTGGGGACAGTGATCGTCTTCCTGTAAATATTGACAGGGACACAGAGTAGAGACTGTGATGTAGACGAGAATAACATGGGGCCAATGATAGTCTTCCTGTAGATGTTGACAGAGACACAAAGTAGACACGGTGGTGTAGACGAGAGTGACATGGGGCCAGTGATCGTATTCCTGTTGATGTTGACAGGGACACAAAGTAGAGACTGTGACGTAGACGAGAGTGACATGGAGCCAGTGATTGTCTTCCTGTAGATGTTGACAGAGTCACAAAGTAGAGACTGTGATGTAGACGAGAGTGACATGTGGCCAGTGATTGTCTTCCTGTAGATCTTGACAGGGACACAGCTTAGTCACTGGGGTGTAGACAACAGTGACATGGGAACAATGATAGCCTCCATGTAAACGTGAGGTTAGGTGAGATGGAATCGGGTCTGACATCGCGTTCAAGGTTATTGCAGTTATTTCGCGATGGGAAGCAAATGTGTTCGTGTGCTTGCATGAAGATGTTTGTAATAGACCAGACCAAAGTAGTCCTTGTTGTAGCCCCTGTATGCCCAGCGGCGGCAAAGGAAACTGCAAGTGCCATCTTTTCCAATGTATATGGGTATGACGTGGGCGGTCAATCTCCGGGCAGACGCTATAACCACCAGACCATAAGAACGGCTCTCCCTGTATAGGTTGATGAGGACACAGCACAAGGACTACAGTGTAGACTACAGTGTACACAAGACACGTGACATGGAGCCAAGTGACAGTCTTCCTGTAGAAGTTAAGAAGGTGCCTTGAATTTGGGGAGAATTATATTTGTCACTGCCAGTCTTATTTCATATATTTTAAACGGTTTTGTCCCCTTAAATATCACTATCAACTCAACCGTCATCATATCAAATTATTTTCTTTTCACAACTCTGCGTTTGCTTCTAGAAATAAAACACAATTCACAAAAAAAGTATCGTTTTCGTTTCCATGACAACAGAAATGCATGTTAACACACATTACATGAATATATCGCCGACGAATGTTCTCACCTTCTCTGTTATTCTCTGAACATATTACAGTTGAATATCATTCCTCTTCTTTCACTGCAATTATTAGCAATGAAAAGCCGCGACAGAAACGATTGTTGATGTAAACAGAGATTTTCAGCTGTCCGGGCCATACTTGAGAGTACGTTTCGTTATGTTATAAATAGAGTGAACAAATCTATAACTGTTGTCACTGCAATAATCAGGAATAACAACCAATGATAGACAATACATTTGCTGCACGTAGAGTTGACAGTTTACAAGGTTGCATTATAAATAGATGTGCAGTGCCATATGTACATGTTCTAACATAAAACAAACGTAATTTGTTCTTCGACAGATAAAAAATACAACAAATGCATATAATAGTCTGGACACCCACAAAATCTAAATAGTCATCAACCCATTCTCAAATGTAGAATTGTGTTTGATGGGTGCAATTGGAATATTTATATCCAAGTAGCATGTCATATTTGCATATAAAGGTACACTGTATGAAATGTGTATGTTAAGCTGTCAGACACCAATCTGTAAGTAGTGAGAGACATGAGGCATGATATATTATGTAGTTGTACATCGGGAATAGTGTTACATACACAAATCTATATGTAGTTAGAGACTTTGGGCATGATATATTATGTAGTTGTGCATCGGGAATAGTGTTACATACACCAATATGTATGTTGTGAGAGACATGAGGCATGATATATTATGTAGTTGTGCATCGGGAATAGTGTTACATACACCAATATATATGTAGTGAGAGACATGAGGCATGATATATTATGTAGTTGTACATCGGGAATAGTGTTACATAGACCAATATATATGTAGTGAGAGACATAAGGCATGGTATATTATGTAGTTGTGCATCGGGAATAGTGTTACATACACCATTCTGTATGAAGTGAGAGACATGAGGCATGATATATTATGTAGTTGTGCATCGGGAATAGTGTTACATACACCAATCTGTATGTAGTGAGAGACTTTGGGCATGATATATTATGTAGTTGTGCATCGGGAATAGTGTTACATACACCAATCTGTATGTAGTGAGAGACACGGGGCATGATATAATATGTAGTTGTGTTACATACAGTCCTGGTTACATCAGCCAGTTTGTGTGTGTAACTGTTCTACAAATGATTTACAGCATAAAGCATAGTGGCTTAATTATAAAGCACAGTTTGAACACAACCGTATGTACTAACAGCTGAGGATTAGTTATACACTATTTTCAGATACAAATTTATTCCCTGTGAGGGGTCGTCGTGCAGAAAACCGCCTTTCTCCAAAAGTAACTTGTCACCTTATAAATTAAATATTATAAGTAGTGAGTTCAAATTTAACATCACATCGTCAATAATTCAATCATATCGTGACAAGAAAAATTTAAACATTGACAACAAATATATTTAGTCTGTAAACAAACTGTCGCTGAAGGAGAGTAAACTAACAAAACTATCACATATTTTAGTTATGTTTGGGGACCTGTAAAATAATTAACTATCATTCAACAGCACAATATAAAAACGGGCTATAAGACCGCCAGGAACCATGCTAGGCCATCTTACCAGGGACCGTGGGGACTTACAATTCTTCTGCTGCCTGCACGGTTCCCCAGCAGGGTTTTTTTACCATCACTTCAGCTGCTGGCGATTCTGCACAATTTTAGCGAACAATTAAAAATTACAAATATAGTGTGATTTAAACTATGGTACGAATAACCTACATTGAAGGACATGGTCTTATCGCCTCAGGGGCACAACAATTTTACAGCACAACCCCTGTCAAGGACAAAGCCATAAACAGTTAATAATCTCAGTTAATAATTATTCACAATCAATATATGAGAAAGACCTATGAACATCAAAAGTTATCAATAAGTTATATCTTTTTTTTCAAAAAACGATAATTAAATGAGAATTCAAATTGCTAAAAATATCCTTTAGCGATGAATCTTTGAAATCTTTATCGCTTGTGGTGGAAAAATCACCGCAGCCAAGCAGGACATGCAAGATCGTAAATATTACGAGAAAACCCCTCAATGGTTCACTTAGTCAGTGCGTCTGTATCAAGGAAGTAACATTTGATGCAATTGTCACTTTTATTGATTGCTACATAGTTCATGACATTTGTCGCCATGCAGGAAGAAATAGTGGGTGTACTTTGTACTAGGTGATCGGTGAGATGAATGTTAAGACATATTATAATACATTACGTTGTCTTTATTCAACATAACATTGCCTTACACATACCAATGTATGATGACGCGTGAAACAAAACAGGAACTTGAAATTTCATCTATTTGGATTTGGTTTCACAACTCGGTAACCCCCGTCTTTCCCGGGAGAAGGTAGACGACATATCACGTGATGTTGGTTGTATTCGTTTCCATAGCAACGATAGCGTCATTAGCAGCACACTCGCTATACAGTCGCCAACATCTGTCACTCATCTTGTAATTGTCTGCGATGGATACTTACTCAAATGTATTGGAAATAGTAGTTGTGTTATTTATGCAACAAACAGATGCATGATATGGAGCCTTAGTCATTCATTTCGTTTTATTCCGGCCTCCCTGCAGACGTTTGTTCCTTCTCAGTAACCATCAGCCCGTATGGAAGATGGTAGCAATGGGTGGTTCCCACAATAGTGTCTGGATTTCAATACAATCATCGCACTCCTATATGTATACTGTTACAATAAAGGTTGATGCAATCTACACAGCCCTGTCTTCTCTCCTTGAGAAATTATTTTACCTTTACGAGTAAAGTTTTTTTGGTTTGTGTCTTTGTGTCTTGTTGAACGCCGTACTCAGCAATATTCCATCTGTGAATAATTGATTATCGACCAGTATAATTCAGTTATTAACATCACCAGCATTGATCTACGGAATTTGGATTCATCGACACGCATCAACGAAGTCAGCGAGCCTGACAACTCCATCTCTAACGACAAGCTTGTGTACCAGGAAGTAGCGTTGTTCAGTTACAAAGCCTGTGTTGCAAGATTTACAACCCTTCAGTTGTGTACGTCACATACACCAGAAAATCAATCAGGAGATGGTTACAGTACACTGGAACATCATCAGGTGCTCATATACATGCAGACTGATTATAATTGTGTTTGAATGACAGAGCATCTGCTTGATATGGGAGAGAAGCCTTAAGTTACTGTATGTGTTTGTTGTTTAACACCTTTAGTAGTATTTTAATACTCAAGTTGAAACATACGATTATGGGTTATGATACTCCTTACAATCAGTCCCTACTTTCTGACGTATAACAATTAGAGCAAATTAGATACATTTTACAAAGTTGATAATTGCAAGCCGGGAATTGGATCTTTTAATCCAACTGTTTTGTTTAAACTTGAAACTACTGATTTGTTAGCGTATATACCACCTCCTTATAACGAGAAAATTTAAATGTACCCATGCCTGATTCTAGGTGATATTTCAACATGAATTTAGAAACGACCAATTATATCTGTAGTTACATGAATGCATGATGTATATGCTCACACTTGATGTGTGTACGATATTTAAGTCCCTAAACCCAACCCTTCCCCGTCTCCTGCGATTCTGGCTACGTAACTTATTATCAGTGTTTTAATATTGTTGTAACATTGTTTTACACACATAAGAACATATAATATAGCTACGATTGTGTTTAGTGGCTCGATCTTGTGGTCAGGAATTCACACACAGAAGTGTTCCGTCACAACAGGAACCTGATTTCAACAGA